AGTCTTACCTTCTGGAGCAAGTGAAAATAAGTCTGAGCCCCTACAATGTGACAGCTGTTCAGATATTTGAAGACAGCTATCGTGTCCCATCTCAATCTTCTCTTCTGCAAGCTAAACATACCTAGATATTTTAATCATTCCTTGAAGGACTTGGTTCTTTGTCAGACTTGGTAGGTACTTCAGTCTCTCTTCTTTTGGGGAAGTCTGAAATCAGAAGGCAGTGGAAAAAGTTTGAAGGTATAAGTCAGTTTTCTCCAACCAGGTTTTACATCAATGTGCTGAATTACCATTCTCAGAATCCAATATTGGCAAGGAATTCTAGAAGTTGTAGACCATCACAGCTGGAGAGCAATAGATCAGTGAAGTTATCTAAAATGTCATTTTCAATCACATTTTTTGGAAAGTGGTCCCACATTTGGTGCCATGGTTTGCAGACTGCTGTTTGGCAATGGCAAAAGAGTGGGCATTCTCTGTGATGGCATCTTTCTTGGGCAATCAACTCTGCTCTTTGCAGTTTGGTGTAGTGGTTAAAGGCTCTGGACTAGGAATGATACAACCTGAGTTCTACTCTCCTTTAGACACAAAAGCCAGCTGGGTGACTTTGGACCAGTCACTCTCAGCCTTATCCTAAGAAATTAAAAAATTCATGGAAGAAGAATTCCAAACCACTTCCAAAAATGTTGCCAAGAAATCTGCATGAACCTGACCATGTAGCTATTGGGAGTCCAGATTAATTCAAAGACCATAACAAAAGCTTTGGGATGTCAGAAGCTGACACAGATGTATTTCAGGTGACTTTGTAGAAGCTTTTATGTTGGTCTTTGCCAGCCATTAATTCTGCCTAACATTTGTCTTTTAATAGATTGGTTGATCAATTGTGTGCAATCAAGTTGGTGTTGATTCTCAGTGACCACATAGATAGGTTATCTTCAGAACAATCTGATCCCAACCTGGTCCCTTGGATCTTCCAACAGTGTAATCATCACCATTGTAACTGAATCCATCCACTTCACTGCTGGTCATCCTCTTCTTCTCTTTCCTTCCACCTTTCCCAGCATTAGAACCTTCTCCAGAGAGCTGGGTCTTTGCATAATGTATCCCAGATAGGATAATTTGAGCTTGGTCATTTGTACCTCAGGTAAAAATTCTGGGTTAATTTGTTTGATGATCCATTTGTTTATTTTCTTGGCTGTGCGTGGTATTCTCAGGAAACCAAAGTTCAAAAGCGTCAATAGTTATTTCTATACTGCTTCTTCAAACTCCATTTACTAGATTGGGGATTTTTAATTCTGATTTTTCTTTTTTCCCCTTCTGCTTTTGTTCTAAGATGGTTTTCTGACTCAGGATTTTATAAACCACTTCTAAATTCTTTGAAATTAGTAGATAGAAATAGTTTTAACAGATAAACAGCACGTTACCCTTGAGCCCTGCTTAGTGTTCAAGCTCACGTCTCACTGGCCAAATACTTTAATCACTGTTACGTGTGCCTTTAAAGCATTTTGGCAAAAGAATGATTTTTGAAAATCTTTTATTGGAGGGGCTGTTAAGCAGAGAGAGAGAGAGACAGAGGATTTCTGTTTGCTTGTTTTGGCTTGAAAGCAATTAATAACAGTGAAAGCAACATGGAAAATTACAGAAACCTGGAAATGCAAAAAGTCGTTGATGAAATGAATTGTCTCAATGAGAATACATTATGTTGCTTGCAGCTTTGCTTGACATTTGATTCTTGAAAGTGGGCATTTTGCATTCCCTTAATCCACATCTGTGCCTCAAGATTCATATACTGCTCCTGAGGGATGAACTTTGGAATGTTTTCTCATCATTCGCTGATAGAAATCTCTTCCTTGAAACACTGAGGAAATGCATTTATTATCAGGCTAAAGGAAAGACTTGTCTTTCTGGACATGAGCAAATTAATCCAAAATGCCCTTCCTTGCTGCAGGTTGACATTGTGGAATCCAGATGTTTGTAAGATGAGCAAAAGTGTCTGTCTTTTGCAGTTTCAGGGCCACCTGTCATAGGACCAAGGAAAGATTTGGTCCTTTTTAGCTTAACGAGGACAACTGTATTCTCTTCTCAGTGACTGACACTCTGAATCTTTCTGGATGGCAACTGAAGAATGGGAAAATTCAGTCAATGTCTGGGTTCAGGCAACAGACTTAACATGGTTATTGAAATCATCCATTTTCTGGATTCGCAGAATACATTGAGGTTAATTATTGAATTAATCTAATCCAAGTTTTGGATTCATGCAGTGGATTGATTCATAGATTAGAAGGGTTGAGTTTACATTATACACTAACATATAGAAACACTAACCTAGGTTAAAGTAACCAAAATTATCATGTGGCATGAATGCAGCTAATAGGTCTTTAACTGTCCTGATTAAACGTGTCATATGAGCCCAAACTCGATCTTGGTTTGGGATTTGTTCAGTTTTATCAGCCTAGAGAGTTAGTCAGCATGTCCTGTCTCTTTTTCTCTAAAATATTTCCTGTGCATTTGTCTAAGGGAAGAGATAGGATGGAGAGACAAGGTGACATATCTGATAGCCATTCCATCTATTCCAGCAAAGTTACGGACAGCGAACGGTTTTACAACAGGGCGTTTCTGGCAGCAGAAGAGTGAGAGCTAGGCCAAAGTCATTTAGCAATATGAGCTTTCTCTGAAGTGGTCATGGGGGACTTCTCTGGAGCTACCACCTTGTCCAAGAACAGAGTTGTTGTTGTTTAATACCCAGGGTTTAGACCTGGAATGTTTGCAGATATAACCAGGAGGATTAAAAAAAATCTTTGCTTAGATGCAAAGTCTCTGATTGCGGTCATACTCCCTTAGAAGGAGTGCCAGCATGCTTTGCTTAGCACAGGAACAAATAATTGTCTATACAGATAGTCCTCAGCTTATTACTGTTCACTTAATGACCATTCAAAGTTATGACACCACTGAAATAAGTGACTTACGACCAGTCCTCACACTTACAACGGTTGCAGCATCCCCACAGTCACATGATCAAAATTCAGGTGCTTGGCAACCACCATGTATTTACAGTGGTTGCAGCATCCTGGGGTCATGTGATTGCCATTTGCATCCTTCCCAGGGGGTTTCCAACAAGCAAAGTCAATGGGAGGAGCCAGATTCACTTAATGACCATGGCAAAAAAGGTCATAAAATTGGCCACAACTCACTTAACGACTGCATTGCTTAGCAACAGAAGTTCCAGTCCCAATTGTGGTTGTAAGTTGAGCAACTCTGTTGCTAAGCGATGTAGTCATAAAGTAAAATATCATGTGACCATGCCAACATATGACTTCAGTTCTGTTGCAGTCGCTAAGCGAATCCCGTGTGGTCATTAAGTGCGATGTCACATGACCATGACTTGCAACTTCTTGCCTGCTTCCCCATTGATTTTGCTTGTTGGAAGCTGGCTGTGAAAGTTGCAAATGGCGATCATGTGACTGCAGGATGCTGTGACTGTCGTAAATGCATGACAGTTGCCAAGTGCCTGAATTGCGATCACATGACCGTGGGGACACTGTGATGGCCACAAGTTCAAGGCCAGTTGTAAATTTCCTTTTTCAACGCTATTATAACTTCGAATGGTCACTGAATGAGGAGTTGGTAAGTGAGGGCTACCTGTATATATGTATCTGAAATCTTGTGTCTGGAATCTTGTAAGATTACCAATTCTCAAACAAGAGTTGGCAGTCTTAGGTACTTTCAGGCAGGAATATTAAAACCCCATGAAAAGTGATAATCTCATGAGATTTTGACCACATTTTCTAAAATTGTCTTTAGGGACTAGTACAGATTGCTTTTCTCTTTCCCTGTTGAAATCCCTCTGGCTTAGTCTTCAATCCATTCATAAATGTTCTATCACTCAGTTGCTCTCAGCTGATAGGTCAATAGGTAGAATTTGATATTTTAAAACCCAGCTAAGAAAAAAGAAGGAAAAAGAAAGGAATAAAAAGAGTTTTACAAGTTGAATGAAACATAACAAGAATTTTTGAAGTAACGTTAGATCAGTACTACCTATAAAATAATCTTAATGGTTCTTGAAATCAATTCAGTGATCAAGACTTGGCAAAAGTAGCCAATATGATAAGAATCATTAATCAGAATAGACATTTAACAGAAATTTCTATCAAATTTAAGGTCTATCCTTGTTACACAAAATAGGCAAGATATTTTAAAGCTTTATGTTAGCAGAAATCCAAATTTCAGAGGTGATACAAGTCCATGTGCAGAATTACTGTCCATCAATGGTTTCTAGGGTAAATTAAATTCCATCTGAGAATTGTTTTTGTTTAAATATGAAGCTATTTTTGATATTGATGCATACTCCCAGAGTTACTCTGCCATTCATCTAAAGAATAGATTGTTAACGATACTTAGCAGAGAAACAGTTGACAGGAAAGGAAAGACAATATTTAACATATCTGTAATACATCATGTTTCAGAATTGTTGAGGTTTATGAGACTGCTACCAAATATATATACATACATACATGCATGCAAACATACATACATACATACATATATAATCCATTGTGATTATTGCATTTCCAGCAATTTTTGTAGTATGAATGATCTTTTTTGGCCATCAGTACTGAAATAATACTAGAGAAACAACGTTTTGTACCAGCTTTCTCTAACTGTGATATTTACAATAAGTTTGATATTTGTCTTCCATTGTTACACATCCATTGTTCTATTCTCCATCCATTTAATCAAAGAATCTTTGATTGTGTTGTTTCTGAATCTCATGTTAATAACAACTTTAACAGATGTTCTAAGTTTTGTATGCTAAGTTTTCAAATTTGGTCAAGTCTCTGGGCATCCCACCTTGCTTTTGTGATTCCTTTTGAACGGTACTATTATTTGAAGATACTGAAACCAATGAGGCAGTTGGTTTCTGATGGTTCCAAGCAAGTTAATTTGATATTCTCTCTCTCTCTCTTTCTCTCTTTCTTTCTTTTTCTCTTTCTCTTTCTCTTTCTTAGGGTTTTGTGTGTGCACAACCTTGCCCATCAGGGACATATGGGGTTAACTGCAGCCAAGAGTGCCCATGTCATAATGGAGGACAATGTGATCATGTGACAGGGGTGTGCCTGTGTACTGCAGGGTATATGGGAGACAGGTAGGACTAACGTCTCAAATGGAAACCTTTATTTTCTTGAGGGCTAAGAGTCAGATAAGGGTAACCAATTCTTGCATTCTTACCAAAAAAATCTGCTAATGTCTTACGTGATCCATATGTGAGAGCCTGTCTATACACTAAGAAAAATAATCTTGCACGACCCTCCTGGGATTCTGAGTAATTTCAGATGCTGGGAGGAGACAGCACGATTGAATGACCTGCCGCATGAACAACACCTTAGGGAAGGAAGATTGGCATTCTAGGGAGAAGTTTGAACAGTTTTCAAACAGGCTGCTTCTACTTCTGCATTCCAAATGAACAGTAGGATTGGTTCAGTTACAGATGTGGACCTCGGCACAGTGTTGTGCGGTTGTCTCGGATGAGATGCCCTAAGGATTTCAGAAGGCTTTAGGAAATAGTCCTTGGACAGTTCGGGTTGCAATGCTAGTCCACAAATGTCTATGCCCCAATGAAGGTGTTAATTTTTAAGTGATCACTGGATACTAAATTATTTATGAGAAGCGTTGTGTCCATTACCCCATAGTAAGGAGGTCTTACACAATCGTAGATTTTTATTTTATTTCTCAAAAGATGTGTACGTCACCCCCAGTTAACAAATTCTCAGGACAGCACACATATCTTACTGAGATAGAAGTATAAATAAACAATCACATCAAATATAAAATAGCACCACCGAGAAATAGAAGGTAACAAGCAAAAATCAGTTGAGAGTCATAAAACACAAACCGGATGGAAACCAACTGATATGCTCAGAAACGTTTCTCCCCACCCTTAATTTCCAAAAACGAAAAAGATTTCTGATTTCTGGCAGTTTCTTTCAGAAGCAGGGAACAGGGGAAGAATTTGTTTATTTGGGAGGTGATGGAGATCTTCCCTAAGTTTCTGTTGTTGAACCAATATATCAGCTGAAATTCGTTATTCTTTAAAAAAATCTACAGTTCTCTGAGTTTTGCAATGCAGCTATTCAATAAGAATTGAAAAATGCACATTGAAGAACATTCAAACATTTTGTTTATGTGTGGAAATACCAGAAAAATGCATTCAAGAGAATTGTGTACAAAAGCCATTTAAACGAAAAACACACGTTCAGAGCAGTCTACCCCAAAACCAAACAAATTTTAGGGTGCCCCTTTCTTTTTTTTTTGGACAATCCAAGCTTGACAATTCACAGCAAATAAATGAATAAATCTGGCACGCTCACAAAAATTGCAAACCGAACGCAACAGGTTTGTTTCGCCCTTGCTAAAAGGCAATGATCTGAAATGATCAGTGAGATTCTTGGTGGGGACATTAGAAACATCGAGGTTCATTGTTCCTTGCTCTGTGGAGTTGAGAAAAACTGTGATCTGGAAATGTCCAAAAAGTCCTATTTGGACAGGTTAAATAATTATTTCATGATTTTCCTCCTAAAACAGAAAAGTTTTTTTTTTTCCTTTTTGGTCTGTTGCATTCTATAGGTCCCAGCCCAAGAGATATGGGTCCATGGAAAACAGCATTTCCTCTTCCTATTTTCCATTAGCAGCTTCACATTCCTATTCTTCTTCTTTTCATCTGTAATTACAGAGCTTTGGGGGCAATTCCAAAAGGAGTTGGGAGCCGAATAGCAAGATATCTTCCCCCCCCCCCAAGATTTCAGTAATGCCCCAAACAATGAAACATGGAAATATGTACGTGCATTGGAAAAACATGTATCATTATGAGGACAGGCGCTCTGCGTCACATTCTTAGTTCCGATTCTTTTTTTTTCCTGTTTTGGCTTTTCCACCTCTAAAGGACACACGTGATGCTCACACTGGAAATGCTGCTGTGGTCCTTCTTGAAATCCATGCTAATTCAGCTCAAGGGATGCTGAATCTGGTTTATGTTCAATATAATCCAAATGAATAGTTTGTAAAAGAGAATTAAGATGATTTTCTGCAGGTCTCTTTTTATATTAAGTGATTGTGCATTACTTTCTCTCCAAATGTTATTGTTTTCTTCCACTGTGAGTCGGATAAGGGTGTTAATTGCATCATAATATAGTATATACATAACCTATTTATTCAATACAGGTAGTCCTCACTTAATGACCACAATAGGGAGTGGAAAATTGGTCGTTAAGAGGGACAGTCATTAAGTGAGTCACCACATGCCCGGACCTGATTTTACAACCATTTTTATGACAGTTGTTAAGTGAATCATGTGGTTGTTAAGCAAATCATGTGGTCATTAAGCAAATCCAGCTTCTGCAATAGACTTTTTTGCCAGGATTCGCTTAACAACCACATGGTCCACTTAATGACCATCATAAACAAGGTTGGAAATCACGATCATGTAACCATGGGGGTTGGTGCGACAGTTTGTGACAGTCATAAGTGTCAGTACAGGTTGTAAAGCATTTTTTCTGAGGCCATTGTAATTTCGAACCAATGTTAATGGGACCGTCGTTAAGCAAGGACTACCAGTAAAATGTTTTTTCACTGTGGAAGTTCTCCTGTTGTTTTGGGAGACTATTATACAGGGTGTTTACAGAAGGGTCAAAAAAGTCAAGTTGGTGGTGTCACTTTTTTTTTAATGTTCATCCATGTTCACTTTCTTGCCACATCCGCATACACACTCCATGGACAGCCCTGCCACTATACTATGCAAATTTCAGTTTACCTGCTTATATTTTTGGTTGCCCAAATTGTAAGACAAAAATGTGTAAGCCCTTAAAGTCAGATCACCATCTGAAGGAGAGAAAAAGCAAAAAAGCAAAATAGGAACCTTTTTCTGAATGCCTCATAGCTCTTGTGGAAATGAGTCACATTTTTCCAGAGAGATATTACCGCTTCTAACATTTTCATTGGCAACGATCCCCATTTTTATTATTAGTTAGGTTGCTGAGGTTTTTTTTTTAATGTCCCTTATAAAGTATAATGGATTAAATTTAATTTAATTTAGATATTTGCGGCAATAAATTTAACAGGGAACACTCCGTGTTTACAGGATATGCAAATGCATTGCTGTTGTATCAATTAATTCCCTCAAGAGTAAGCAATGAATTTCAGCTTTTTTCCCTCTACCCTGCAGAGTTCCTAGTCTGTCCCCTGTTTGGTGAAGGAATATGGGCCCCTATTCCTGAAATTGTTCTAAAGCCAAAACTCTTGGAATTTCGGCATTCGTTCCTGACTTTAGTTAAAACGTTTAACTAAAAAATTAACTAATGAACCAAAAAACCAAGAAGAACCAAAGAACCAATGAAACAGACAAACCAAAAATATGAGACTCCTTGGTTCCCTTTAAAAAACTCTCTTTTCTCTTTTCCCATCCTAACCAAAAGAACACTTTTGAGTGATGTTTAAATAATTTTAAAATATTGCTATTAGTAGATTTTTTTTTTTCATAGCACCCCCAGCTAGAAGCTCTGTCTCGTGCGCCTTAAAGATAGCGGGTAAATAACTGCCTGGTAAATGAAGATAATAAAGCCTGTATGTTGGAGTAAATATTTGATTAAAAATCTTAGTCACCAAAAACGTGTGGGTAACGAAATGCTGTTTTGTTTCTGGTCAATGAGAGACAGTTGTGCATTTTGAATCATTTGACAACCCTCAGGTTGATAGCGTTGGGTATCTTGAATACTATGGTAAAAGGAGGTTATTTTAGAATTTACAAGCAATTGTGCTCATCATTGGAAGTCCTTTCCAATGGAAGCAACAAATACAGCACAGAAAAGCATTTTCAGTCTTGCAGCCATCAAGAATCTGCCTTCACTGTTTCCATTTGCTTCTGTGTCCGGAAATTATATTCTTTGTAGAGTGAATGGAATCCCATCATGGGTGTCCACCGGGGGGAATCACCACAGGCAAGACAACGGTTGCATGATTATAAAAAAGGGTGGGACTTCGATCACAATATCATGACCGCCATCTTGCCTGTTCCAACCCCCCCAGGGTCATGAGCCACGATTCAGAGTCTGACTCTGACTCTGATTCTGACCATGTTGCTCCAGCTCATCAGCCACGGGCCTCTCCTGATCAGCTGGAGCGTCAGACGATGAGGCACGACCCCCAAGCCCCAGATCCAGACGCCCGCAGAGGCGAGCCGGGCAGCGTCCGTCCAGGAGACTCCTCCAAGGCAAAGGGGGAGGCTTGAAGCACTGCGGCCAGCTGCCAGCAGAGAAATATATGGAGCTGGCATCGCTTTCACTCTCTGTTGGAAAACAGCCATGTGCAAACCTAGCTTTTGTCTTGTGGGCATCCTGAATTCCCGACTTCTGGACTGGCGGGCTACCTGATTTGGCTTCGTGACTTTTGACACTGTAATTTTGCTTCTGGGGCTACAAACGGTCCTTTACTTTGAGAAGTCTTTCTTTTGCAACTGGTCTGCTGTTATCTGCTGCTGCTTCTTGGCAACTGGGTCTGCTCCCTTGGAACAGAACGCCCAGTGCCGCTGAATCCCCCCGGTTTGTTTTTATGCATTGATCTTAACTTCTTTACACACTCTTTGGGTGTCGTATAAAATACCGCCACAGCATCAAACCAACTCCTAAAAACATCTCCGAAAGGCAACATGGCAAAATGCAGAGTCAAACAAAAAGCTGATGCCAAGTCAACTTGATTAAATGCAGTAAACGTACACTACCCGAGCCATAAAACAAAAGGTAGACCAACAGAAACTCATCACTTTGCCAACAGTTATAATGAGCAAGTTTGATTTTATTTTTTGGGGGGGGTGTCAGATGTATTGTATACTGGTGTTTGTGAAATCATGACCCGAAGAGCTTAAATGTTCATTGTTTTGAGGCATTGTTTCCTCAACACCTTTTTCCATGTAAGACAGAAATATATCACTGTTACACAAATGGGCTGGCCGCAATTCTTACAGAGTTTGTAAAGGAAACTAATATTTGTTACATGTACATCATGCGTTAAACAAAGCATGGTAATGCTTAATATTTTGTGAAATTGTGGCCATTAATTCTACTGCCGACAAGTATATTAACCCAAGCCTAAATAATTATGCACTTATTATTAAAGCCCCAAAGAATGGCTGTACAGTTGTTGTTGTTGTTGTTG